TTCCTCACTCCTCATGAGTATCGGCTTCATCACCACTCGCTTGACTCTTTCTCTGCCCTCTCACACAAGCAAGTTCACCTCCTTGCTCTCCCCATTCACACCAGGAGAATTGTCATTCTGACTCCTGTGCTGTCTCGACTCATGTCTTACGTTCCCGCCGTCTTTCGCGCAGGATCTTGCTGGAATGATTCGCTTTCATCTTGCCTCGACCATAGTCGTCGTGGTACCCTCAGAAGACCTGCATTGTAGACATCCTGATTACAACACAGGGGTGCATCATTGCATATGTGTCAGGTGTTCCACTGCAGGATAGACAGTCATCATCGTCAGTAGCCACTCAGCTCTCACAAGATTTCCTCACAGCAGGTCCATCCATGCTGATGGTTGTTGTGGCTCTGATTGATTCTGTCGATTAGAAGTACACTTGCATCGAAAGCATGCGCGCCATTCATTGGAGGGAAAGAACAAGACACACTACGAGGATCCTTACACGACTGTGATTGGTTTGAGACTGGGTTCAACCCTGATCTGACTCTTGTTCACAGTCTTGCCAAAGTGGCGAGGTAAACATTACCATCGTAGGTGAGTAACAACCTCTTGGCTCTGCTCACGCCTTCGCTTCTTTCGCTCCTACGCAGCTTTCACGCGTGATACTTTTTCTCGCAGGGATCGCAGGAGCCATCTGCTCTCCAACCTGCTCGGTATCCTCTCCAAGAGACCGTCACCTTCTGACAGGGCTCTGTCCAGGTCATGGACTCTTGTCCCAAGGACAAACCCCCAACCGTGACAGCCAAGGCTCAATGTGCACTTCAGGTTTCGAGATGGTGGGGAGAGCAGCAGTGGGCTGACCGATGCGATGCGCTTGTTCAGGACATGTCGGGCAGAAAGTTTTGTGCCCTCATCTGTAATCCGCCCGATGAGAAGGTTTGGTTCCTCCCTCTCGCTGACTCGTCTGACGCTGACAAGGGCAACGATGACGGGGAGTGCGGGGAGAACGCCTCTTGCAAGGCCATCAGCGGAGTTGGCATTTGCACCTACGACCAGTGAGGCCGTTGGAGAGGTAAAGTAGTCTACAAGGCAATCCATGATATTCACAAGTACACTTATTCAAACTGACTCTCTAACACGTTGACCTTCACCTGATATGTCGACCTGCCAAGTGTGAGATATGTTCTCATCTCCTTCAATTATGCTCACCATGAGGCGACGAGTCCTATCCAAAGTCCGCTAGCCAGCCCGATGACGGACGAGTACGGAAGGACGCGTCCTGCATATGATCAGAGCAGGAGAGACGGACTGACGGCGGGACCTAGGGAACTCGAAGCGTTAATTTCTCTTGAGATCTTGGCAAGAGTTGTCTTCATGACGTCGTCAACGTCAGACTTGGAGAGCTTCTCGTAAATCGTTTCAATTGCCTGCAGGAATGTTACATCCCACAAGAGAAGAAGAAAAAATGTTCTATTTCACACCTGCCAATCTGTCAACCCGATCATAATACCTATGAAGACGCCAAAGAACGTTCCTATAAACATACCAAAACAAGTTCCTGGTGCCAACTATGGTATCAGCACATTGATCTACCAGTACAACACCTACAATATCCAACCTGCACTCATCCAAATAAGAAATTTATTCCGACTTTCATTGATGTTTGTCCCCTTCAATTCGAAGTCTCTGAAAACACATCTTTGTCACCTTGACCTCCATTTATCACAATTTTCGCCCGCATCATCTCCATCTCCATCTCCATCTCCATCTCCATCATCATCATCATCATCATCTCCATCATCATCATCATCTCCATCATCATCATCATCATCATGATCATGATCATGATCATC